CATCCAAATCCCTCAGAAAATTTGTGATCATTTTGGTCTTGTGGCATGTAGCATTATCCTGTTGCAGGATAAAGTCATGTCCAATGAGCCGGTCACCGAAAATAAATGCGCGGACATTCAGGATGTGTAAATAATTGTCTTTATGCATAGTACCATCGATTGGTATCAAATCACCGATCCCGTTAAAGCAAACACATCCCCAAAAATCACAGAGCCTCCACCATGTGGTATCCGTTCGCATACTGATCTTACTTTTTGTCAATAATTTTTGGGTATTCTGCAGTATATTTTATTTTTAGACCCATCATACTCAAATGTACTTTCATCAGTCCACAAAATGTTCCCAAAAAAATTGAGGCTTGTGAACAAATAATTTGGCAAACGCTAAACGCTTAATCTTACTTTTTGGCGAAATAAAAGATATTGAGAGGGGTACATAAGTAGCAAAGTTGGCCCGTTTCAACCGCCTTTCAATGATTTTATGGCTTATTAACGTATCGTACTGATTGTTAACTTCAATTGATACTGCCTTTGGTGTAATTAAGATATCCTCCTTAAATTTTCCAAGGATTATGCGATCCTGCCTTGGTGTAGTCTTGCGTGGTCTACATTGCTCTGGCTAAATTACTTATTAAATTTGTTAGTTTATGCTTATTGATTTGGTAGTAAATTGTTTGCCAAGGTACTTTATAAAATTGGGCAAGACTTTGTACCGACATACCTGCGCTGTACTTTATTACCATTTCGTTACGCTGAATTTGGCTTAGTTCACGTGTTTCACCCATATTTTAAATAAGAAAAAACGAAAAATAAATGAAATTAAAAAAAAACGAAATTCAGATTAGATTAGCCGACTTTACAAATTGCAAAAAGTTGTGTTTATCGCACGTGACACAAATAAGGACCAAAACAATGCAATGTCAAAATACTTTTATCCAGCCACAAGTGCATAATATCTCACATAACATGTCATAGCAAATAAACGGATTAGCTTATCAGTGCAATTTTTTTTTTTTTATAGCTATAAATAGCAGTTATCTATTGAAAGTTTAATAGATACCGATACTTCTACGATTAAAAATAGACACGCAATTGTACATTGCTTGGCACTTTGTCAAAATACTTATGTCCACCATTGTATATTTATATTCCTACTCAATAAAGTGAGTATTACTTTCGTATAAAATATTACAAAAATTTTATACACTAACTTCTATAATAAAATTTATAATTAAATAAAATTAACATGTTTTTTCCCCATGTTAATGAAAACAACGGTGAATGATGAGTTATTTTCATGAAGTGCATAGTATAAAAAAAATATGTTAGCATTTTGTACTCCACACCAATGCTCTTTAATTCAAATATATTGAAACAGGAAAATTATAGATCAAATTAATTAAATTAATTGTTATGATTAAGTCATAACAAAATCTGCAGAAATTGTACTCATGCAACGATTATAGCTACACAAAGAAGTATTCGTAAATGTTCAGCAAGTTCGCAATAGTTAAAAAACATATAGTATAAACAATTAAAACATATTAACATATATAATAAGATTTATAATAATTAAAACGAACAGGGTTTCTTAATAAAAATTAAGTAGATGTAATAGCCCACGAAAAATATTAGAATTAAAATAAATATTTGGTTACTGGAATAAATAATTGCATCAAATAAATAATATATTAGGTGTACCGGTATGAAATGAGCGTTTTTTGGTGAAAATAAAACACTAATTATTAATAGGAAAGTAAAAAACATTTTATTCAAAGTATTGGCCATTGCTTTCTATACATTTTGACCACCTTTCTGGCAATTTGTGGATACCACGCCAAAAAAATTGTTCGTCTTTTAAAGCAAACCAACCAGACACCCAATTTTCGACCTCCTCGTAGGAATCAAAATGCTGCTCAGCCAATGCGTGTCCCATCGATGAAAACAAATGGTAGTCGGAAGGAGCCAAGTCTGGTGAATACGGCGGGTGGGGTAGCAGCTCTCAGCCAAGTGTTTTGATTGCATCCTGAACCCGTTTTGCTTTGTGTGCAGGTGCATTGTCATGGACCAGAATTACCTTGCCGTGTCTTTTGGCCCATTCTGGTCGTTTCTCGATCAATGCATGGTTTAAATTTATCATTTGTTGTTCATAGCGACCAGCATTGACGGTTTCACCAGGTTTTCGGAGATCGTGGTACACCACACCTTTCTGGTCCCACCAAACACACAGCATTGTCTTCTTGTCGAATCGATCTGGTTTTGCAGTCGATGTTGATGGTTGTCCCGGATTAACCCATGATTTTTTCCGTTTAGGATTCTTAAAATAAATCCATTTTTCATCGCCAGTAACAATCCGATGCAAAACCGATTTTCTTTCGTGTCTTTGAAGCAAAATTTCACAAGTGTTTTTTCGGTTTTCCATCTTTCATTCAATTCATGTGGCACCCATTTTCCACACTTTTGGATCTTTCCCATGGCTTTTAAACGGTCAAAAATTGTTTGTTGTGCAACATTTAACATTTCTGCCATTTGCTTTTGACCCAAAGTGTCATCTCCATCCAATATCGTTTACAATTCGGCGTCTTCAAACTTTTTTGGCGGTCTTCCACGTTTTTCATTTCTCACATCAAAATCATAATTTCTGAACCGTTGAAACCATCTTTTGCATGTTGCTTCTGATAGAGCATGATCACAATATGTCTCGACAAGCATTCGATGCGACTCTGCACCACTTTTCTTCAAATGAAAACAAAAAATTAATGCTTTCCGCAAATCATCACTTTCTCGTACAAAATTCGACATTTTTTACACGATGAAAAAATACGATGTTGTCTGTTCAATGACTTGATGTATAATAAATATATTTCACACATGTCATACCAAACAAACAAAAATAAATAAAGGCTCGTTCACAACAAATGTTCCCTGTCGGAACATTTGTATCTTTACGCTCACTTCATACCGGTACACCTGGTGCATATGTATGTAAATGTTTGGTACACGACACAACCTCTAACACAATTTTTCACGATATATAAAATCATTATTTCTATAATTTTTTATAAATATGAACTTACTTCTTATTGTTGCTAAGCTAAGACAAAACAAGTTATTAATATAGAGTGAAATTCCCCTAACTCGAAGTCCCCACAACTCGAACTGCTATGTACAAACTTTGAATTTTCAAGAACTATTCCTTGTATTTTTTTTTCCATAAGTCGAATTCCCCTAACTCAAGTATTTCCGTAACTCGAAGTAAACATTCACAGCTTTTTACCACTTCCCTCTAAATTTATCTCCACAATACAAATTTTTACTTTTGCCTTTATATTTTCAAATACTTTTGTCAGTTACTTTTATAACTTTCGACGACGCTTAGATGACTAACAATTGCTATTTATTGTAAATTTCCCTAATGCGATGACGGAGTTAAGCTTATTATCAGTGAAGCAGTAGTACTTTCAATCACAAATATGAGTAAAAGAAATTTGAAATGTTTGACAATCCCGGAAGAAATCAATTTAATTAATGAAGTAGAAAAACGTGACAAAAACAAAAATAAGATATAGCCGAAAAATATGGAATTCCTTGTAACACCTTATTAACGATTTTAAAAATAAGGACAACTTAAAAAGAGAGTTCTGTAATAATAAACGTAAACGGATTACAATATGTAAATAAGATGACGTGGATGAAGCTATATTGCAGTGGATAATTACTGCAAGAGCAAAAAATCTACCTCTGTTGTATAGTATTATTAGAGAAAACGTTAGGCAGTTTGCATACACAATTGCTACAAAAAAAGATGCGATCAAGACAATTTGAACATTTATCCATGCCAGAGCAAACGCATTGGATCATATATTCCAACTAAAAGTTTGGAAAATTATATATAAAAAGAACAAGTAACCAGAAAACTAATACATATAATCGAATATTTTAAATAAAAATTATGCGTGTATATTCAAATTATTAAATATTTAGGAATAGTAAAAAAATGTAACTGAATATTTTAAATAAAAAATAATTGGTAGAAAAACCAAAATGAAGTTTTTTCTCTATTACTCGAACTTTTTTTGCCGTCCCCTTCACGATTCGAGTTAGTTGAATTTAGTTGTACTTTAAAGATTAGTTGCTACTCTAAGTAAAAAATATGTAAAACAAAATATTATGTAAAATATTAGAAACAAATATGTTAAATTGTTAGGTACAAGAGTTATAAAACATCATAGGTGTCACTTTTACGTAATTTTTTTCAATAACTCGAATTAACATATATAAAACAATTCTTCCGTAATATTATTGCAATTTTTTGAACGGTTTAAAACTTATGGCAAACTAAAGTGAAATTTTGACACAGTTACCGTTTGTGGACTTTAGGGTTAAATAAAAATAAGAAAAACTAATGGCAATAAATTATCTGAATTATAAAGCAATTAATATACATATTATTAGTGAGATGCGAATAGTTTCGTTTTAAAATAGGTATGCAAATTGTTTGTTTGAAAACCAAAAATCAGCATGTTGTACACACAGTGTACTGAAAATGTTTTTGCATACTTCGAGCTATGCAAATGTTCAATAAGAGCTTCTTTTCAAAAAACTTCACACAATATAACACGAGAGTCTGTCAACGAAGATCAGATTGATCACATTACTATCAGCAACAGAAGAGGATTTTGATTACTCGCTATAATCCTTAATTCATCCTAGCAGCAAAGCAAAGTTCCGGTACAAAGTTTGGAACTAAAATTTAAAGAAAAAAATAAGCATATTTAGTGTTCTTGTGATCATAAAGTAAGTACTATATTAAAAAGACCTTCAATATAGCATTTTTTTTAAGTACATAGATTATCAGCATAGAAAATAACCTTAAATTCGTTTATGATAATATCGAGGTATTACCGCATTGTTGAAATATAAAAGAAAAGTTATTTATTAGGAACACCAAAATTAATTAAAATCTAAGGCAATATATTTTGATGTTGTAGCATTCTTACCCTCAAAGTTTTCCAGCATACTTTTTACATCTTCTTTTAAACGTAATTGGTACGACTTAAGTAAAGCTTCTCTTGATTGTATTATATTTGGTTTACTCATTTCTTTAAATCTTATTCCTATTTAAAAGACAACATGCATTGAGCACTGCAAAGTCGACTTAGTGGAATAATACGAAACTAACAAGTTGCTTCGGAGAGCAGGATTGTTATTCAAAAAAAATTAAAAAAATTGAACCTGAGCCTAGATAGCAACGACGCTGAGGGGACCAAGCCGGAACTGGAACACGAAATTTTTCTAAGTTTATTAACTTGTCAAAATTAGCCAAATTTAAGCTTTTTCACCAAGTTTGAAATATGAAAATACAATTATCTTTCATTTGGTATATACCTCATAACTGTATGTTGAGTAATAGCTGAGATATTCAAAAAATAAAAAAATAAAATTTTTTGAAAAAACTGACTTTTTTTACTTAAAAAATAATTAAAAAACAACCACAAACGGCCCCGACATGCACGAATACTCACCTGAAAACCAAAACACAATTTTAAAACCTCAATTAGATATTTTAATTTTATCATAAAAAATTGATAAAAAATAGCATTTTTTTAGCTTACTTTACTGTAATCATTATATCCGCGCGTGCAATAACGGCCCCGCAATGGAATTAATTTTTCTTCAAAGTGAATAAAATTTCCTTTCCAAAAACCTTAAAATCATAAAAATCGTACATACAGTTTTTCCACAATTATTTTTTAAAAACTGTCCATTTTTTACCTAAAATCCAATTATTTGAAAAAAACCTCCATACTCACAGCGCCAAATGCGGAGCAAGCTCAAGGCAGGCGTGCCAGCGCCATCTAAATTTCAAGTATCAATAAGATGTTTGTATTTTTTTACGCAAGTATTGCGAATAAATGAATTACTGAATATTTGAATAGAAAAAGCGACTATCATATCTAAAAATATTAATTAAAAAATAACTATAATATAGATCCAATTGCACGCGAAAACCTTTAAAGATAATGAAACACACTTTCAATTGCAACATAAATCAGAAAGATTGATTTTGTCTTCACCCCAGGAAATTTAATCAAACATGAAAATTATTATTTCTTTTAAAACACATGTTTTTAAAAAAGTAAAGATGAGAAATGTTAAGATATACAATATAATGCATAATTGTAAAATATCAACAAAATATTTCAATTATATCATAGAAATTTCAATAAAAATAAGAAATTTTTTTCATAGTATGCATTTATATATCGAAATAACTTTTCGTGCATAAACTGCCCCTCAATCATCTATACATCCCCATAAAGATGAAGAAATTTCCTTTACAAAGAGCTAAAAAACTTAAAAATCGTGCATGCAGTTTTTTTATAATCATTTTTTAAAAATTTCTCTATTTTTTACCAAAAATTCAATTTTTTTGAATAAATAAATTATGTCACAGCGCCAAAAGCGGAGGAAGTTCAAAGTAGATGGAATGGTTCGATCGAAATTTTGAGTCTAACAAGAACACTTATCAGTGTTACAAACCATTTCTTTTTGGAAATGCTTGATATGTTTAGAATCTGTCAATGTTTATGCAAAATCATTCAGTGGCGGAATAAGAAAAAGGGAAAGCAATTTTATAACACTATAGCTTTCTAAACTCTTGATATAAAAAACATATTAAACATATAATTAATGGAAATTAAAAAATAAGGAAAATATATAAATAGATAAAATAAAATTAAAATTTATTTAGTGAACTATAAATAGGTGACATGTACTAGAATCTGTCAATTAGACAAATTATAAAATTCGTATCAGATATAAGACAATAAATAAATATAAAAAATATACAATTTTATGTTGATGTACTTTTCATATTTTACATGTTAATTTTTATCCATAAAAATTAAAAAGCAATCACATTTTTCATTTATTTTAATTTTATATGATTATATTTGCTTTTACAAGTATTTAATTTTACTTTTAATCAGGCTATGTATGTATGTGCACAGGTATAAAATATAGCTGGCGTCACAATAGTTTCGTGCACTTTTTTCTATGCGCATGCATCATCAAGTTTATGCTTTATATGCTTATAATAATTATTTAAAAGCATTTATTTATTAAATATGTGTGTTAATTGGTTTTACTTATTTTTATATGTACATTGATTTCAATTCAGTTCTAAACAATGCATTCAAATATGTATAAAACGGAGACTTAAAACATATTTTTTCCCCACCCGTCTGTCTGTCGCCATTTGATAATTATGCACTTGGTTATATGCAATCCTGAAGCAAAAAAAAAAGTTTCATACATTTTTATAATGCGTATGCAATTACCCAGCATATCATTACATACAGCATATATATGTATAAGTACATACATATAGTATGTGAATATAAATTTTTCTTATAATTTATTCTTGTTTTATATGAACATTTAGTATTTATTATTTTTTATTTATAATTTAAGATTAAAATGAATATAGTAATAATATAAAAAATTAAAATAAAACAAATAATATGAGTGTTAAATTACATATGTATGTATGTACATATTTATATTAGCGATTTTTATGCCGTTATGTTTTTTTTGAAGTTTTTCATTTATTGCATATCATAGCTCTGCTTGCCTATGCGCATTGACAAACTTTTTTTACCTACATACTTGTGCATTAAACTTCGTAGGATTTTTGCGAAGTCTATAGTGAATGACAACAACACAAAAACACAAAAAGTAAATGCGAAAGTGTTGTGCGCAGCGGATAGTGATTTGAGGGTGGGTTTATATGTTTATATTTGCTTGTGCAAGTGCCTTAACTTTTGTCTACAAGTTTCGAACAGATCGAATAACAAAATGATCCAAATATTTATTTCACCCACTGCTTGTGCATTCTAAATAATATTTAATTAATATTCAGTATGATATATGTACGTATATAATTATATTAATATATATATATTATATTATAATATAATATAATATAATATAATATAATATAATATAATATAATATAATATAATATAATATAAATTACTTGATATGTAAATGCAACATAAATATAAAATAAATTCAATATATGTATAACACAAAAATAATATAAATATAATATAAATACAATATAAAAATAATATAAAAATAATATAAATATATTAAAAATGTAATATAAATATAAAATATAAATATATAACTTGAAATATAATAATACAAATATATTAAAAATATAATGTAAGTACAATATACACATTACTTGAAATATAACATCAATATAATATAAATATAACATATATATATAATATAAACACAAAATGGACATTAGGAAAGTACAATATAAATATAATATAAATAGAACGAAAAAATAATATAAATATAATTTAAATATAATGCGAATATAATATATATATAACTTAAACATAATTTCTATTTAATATAAATATAACATCACCAATATAAATTTAATA